TAGGTAAAATAAAGGCCCAATTCCCCGAAAAGGCTATTATTCTGCATACTAGGCTATTATTCTATATACATACTTAAACCCTAAACCCTAAACCCTAAACCCTCAAAAACCTCACATCTCCAAGGCGAGCTCCGGGATACTTCTCCACTGCTCGGGCCTGCCAGGACAGCTGTGCAGTGAATTTAGTTAGGGCTCAGGGCTTGGGGTTAGGGGTCTAGGGATTTCTGGGGTTTACCTGGACCCCAAAAGTATGTAGAATAACAGCCTTTTATGGGTATTCGGCCTTCATTTTACCTACTTTGGAGGGTTTGGGCAGGCATTTAGGATTTAGCATGTATGGGGTTCAGGGATTTAGAATTTACGGTTTTTTGGGGTGCTGTTTGGGCTTTCGGTGAATCCTTCAACCATAGTCAAGAGTTTGCTCGCAGGAAGCATTTCCTCCTGACCACTTCCAGCGAGATTCCCGAAGAAATTGCGAGCCTTTGGCTGCAGTTTGTGTGACTGACAGACTTCCTTGGAGGGTTTACGGCTCGGTTTGGGGTTTAGGGCTAGGGCACGGGGCGTAAGGGGCCACGGCAGGAGGAATCACTTGAGGTTGGCAACGGAAGTCTACCATAATAGAGGTGGTACTTTGGGACACTTCATAATTTCTCTCAGGATCCTAAAGAGGCTCCAAGTGATACATGATTTGGGGAAACCTTTTTTCGGCGTGAAGCTTATCGGCTCCATGGACCTAGACTCCAAGCCTGCGGAGCCCAAGAACCATTGTGTGATTATAGTGGTAGCCAGAAAGTTGGAACATCATTATCCTCATGCCCTTAAGGTAGAGTATAAGGGATGCTAGCACTAATCCTCCTAAAGCCATGTTCCAACTTTCTGGCTTCTGCTGTAGTATTGGTATTATGGTTACCATCGGTTTAGGGTGATATTGGTATAAAGTTCTCAGAGACATCTGAGCCTTAGGTTTAGGGTTAAGGGAACTCACTTAAAGCCTCAAAGGTGGAGACTATACTCACTCGGGTTGGGCAGTAGCAGAGGTGGGGACATCCAGTTCGAGTCTCCAAGGGTAAAAGGAGGGACCCTTAATAAGGACCCCTAGGTATATACCCTTAATGTAGCTATTATATACCCATTATATAGCCCCATTATAGGGTAGGGGTCCCCATTAAGGGTCCCTCCTTTTCCCCTTTGAGAGTCGCGCGCCTTTTAAAACCAGCTGCACTTTCATGGAGAGACCCCCACCAGCCCCACACCCTAAATGCTAAAACCCCAAACCCTGAAACCTGAAACCCCAAACCTAAGCCCTACACTCGAAGCCCTGGCCTCCAAAGCCTGAAAAACCTCAACCCCAACCCCACGTATCCTGAAACCTGAAACCTCAAAGAGCTTTCGGTCCTAAACCCTAAACGCTTAATCCTAAAGCCCAAACCCCGAATCCTAAACCTGCAAATTCCCAAAGAGCCTCACAGGTCCTAAGCCCTAAAATCCTAAAACCCTAAACCCTAAAACCCTAAACCCCTTTCGGTCCTAAACCTAAGTTATGCTGTCGACATCCCAGGAAAGCGGCAGTTCTGACGGCTCTCAGCTTCTTGGCATGCGAAGATTCCGGCTCGCTCTGAAAGCGGTGGGTTACTTTGCAGGTCGGAGTAAATCGTAGAAATAGCGGAGAATAATAATCAAACCAAAATCATGATCATAATACTAGTAAGGATGTGAGTAACAGCAATTATGAATAGCTGATTGACAACAATAGTGATAGTACCGATCGTAATCGTAATATTCCATTCTGGTCGCCTCACATACTTTGTTATACTCCCTCAGCCCGATTCTACCTACCATGGCCCATATACAGCGTCCTTGCGCTTGGCTCTTCATAGGGCTCACGGGGTTTAGGGTCTTGGGTCTTCCGGGTGTTGTTAGGCATTACAGGTTCTAGGCTGTTCAGGTCTAGGGTTTGGGGTGTTCGGGTTTAGGGGTCTCGTGGTTGCCGTTTAGGGGTCCCGCGGTTGATGTTCATTCATCACCCGAACTTGTATCTCTTCGCGAACAGCGCAGCCCCAGGGATGAACCATTTCCCTCCGAGTGTCTTCATTAAATGTCGGCGGACCTGCGACCACGATTGAACCTTTACAGGGGAATGGTGCCTCTGGCTCCAATGTCACGTGCCTCTCTGAAGGACCAAACGAACCCCAAAAGGCTCTATGGCTCATATTCCATTCAGGGAATAGTAGAGCGCCCCGTGCTGTTTGGACGGTCGTTTGATTCAAAAGAGTTTCTTAACTGTGTTCCAGCGGCGGGTGGTTGTCAAACTAGCCGGGTGCGTTGTGCATCAATACGTCAGGAGTGGAATAAGCCACAGAAGGCTGCTGTTGAGGTTTACACGAATACACGTGCATCGGGATTGCAAGGGAACATGAGTACTAAATTCCAGACATATGTGTGTCCATATATATATATATATGTAAATATTGGCTCCAAGAACCTATGCCGACATCATGGCCCAATTACCGCACCCAAGCCAGGAAAGCCCAATCTCCGCGAAGTGACATCATGGCCCAATTATCGCACCCAAGCCAGGAAAGCCCAATCCCCGCGAAGTTATCCCTCAACCCTGAATAATACTCTCCTACACACTGAAACCCTTAAGCTGCGAGCAGGTGTATGTACACACATATAATATAGAGTGTCTGTATATATATATATGTATATGTATACATATATTTCTTCGCACTTGTTATTCGTTTGTTGCTCTTGTAGTTACATACCGGCAAATAATCAAGTACAAACAAGCACATACGTATCTGTATATGTTACGTGTGAGTATTCATGTGTGTATATATATGTATATATACCGTCTCTCGCCCGAAAGAGAGCCCGAGAGAGAGACAGATAGAGAGAGAGAGAGAGAGAGAAAGAGAGAGAGAGAAAGAGAGAGAGAGAGAGAGAGAGAGAGAGAGAGAGAGAGAGAGAGAGAGAGAGAGAGAGAGAAAGAGAGAGAGAGAGAGAGAGAGAGAGAGAGAGAGAGAGAGAGAGAGAGAGAGAGAGAGAGAGAGAGAGAGAGAGAGAGAGAGAGAGAGAGAGCGAGAGAGAGAGAAAGAGAGAGAGAGAGAAAGAGAGAGAGAGAAAGAGAGAGAGAAAGAGAGAGAAAGAGAGAGAAAGAGAGAGAAAGAGAGAGCGAGAGCGAGATAGAGATATAGATAGAGATATAGATAGAGATGGGGATCGAGATAGAGGATACCCCCAGCAAGCAAGATCAAGAAAGACCGAGATTGCCACCAGCACTCTGCTTCAGCCTAACCCCGAAACCTGAAACTTATAGATCCTAAGCCCTACACCCTAAATCCTAAATCCTAAACCCTAGACCCTAAATCCTAAACCCTAAACCCTAGACCCTAAATCCTAAACCCTAGACCCTAAATCCTAAATCCTAAACCCTAGACCCTAAATCCTAAACCCTAAACCCTAGACCCTAAATCCTAAACCCTAAACCATAAACCCTTCTCCACTTCATTCAGCGTCGAGGCCCATGGAAAGAGCCGATCACGCTGCACGCGGCTCCTCGGCCTGCCATAGCTTTAATCGGAGGCCTCAAAAGGTGGGATGAACGTAGGTGGGATATTCCCAAATAAGAGTCCTCATATAAGGGATCCTTAATCCTACCTAGCTTCATCTCACCTTTGGAGGCCTCCGATTTAAGGGGTTCAAAAAGGCTCCTTAAACGGTTCCTATCAGTATCAGGGTTCTAGAACGGATCCTCAAAGGGTTTCATTTATGAAAGGGTTGCTTTATGGGGGAGGTTTGCAGAGTTGTACAAGGTTTCTCTTCTTCCCAACGGCGAAACAAGCAGAAAGTTTGACTCTTTTGTGTAATGGGTTTGGGACAGAAGGGCACTGCTGATGGACACAGCCCTTCTGATTCTAACAGCATCTTTGGTTCACAGGATCTCCAGAATCGAAGCAGGTATATTCTTTGTTAGAGGTTTGGGGGGTCTACTACGGGTACTTTCGGCAGCGCATGAACTCCGATGGTTTAGCCTGAGAGTCTCAGACTTGGGGTAGTTAAGGTGTTTAGGGTTTAGAGTTGAGCGTTTAAGATACGGTGGTGCACATGTTGTAACGGTTTCATCGGTTCTGATGTTGTTTATCCTTAAACCAAGAGCTCAACGGTCTTAACTGAGGCTCCTTCACAAGGGACCTCATGTTTCAAGAGGTGTCTGCATTTGTAGCAGGAGCATCCACCCCTAACAAAACCCCAACCCTTATTCGATCCACAACGGCTTCCGCGTTTTGCAAGTGGTTGTTTGGACACCTCAAACCGAAGCCTGCGAGTCGGACCGAGTTTAGGTTGAGGGTGGTTTAGGGTGTAGGGTGGCGTAGGGTTTAGTTTTTAGGGTAGTTTAGGATGCAGGCTTGGGGTGTAGGATTAATATAGGTGGCAAGCAGGAAGATGCTTACAACAGCGACATCCTCAACATCTGGCTTTCGAACGCCGAATAGCAGTACCTTTCATCAAAAGACGTCGGCAGCTTGCTTGCTCAAGCGTTGCACAGTTGATACAGCTTAGAGTTTCTATGATATAAAGTTAAACCCTCAACCGTAAACTAAATTGCGGCCTCTTCAGTTCCATGTCCTGGGTGCAGGATCAAGCTGGACGACCTGGAACTAACAGCAACTCTAGAGCCGAGCCCCCTCCCATCGATAACCGAAACCCCAACACCCTAAACCCTAACCCCTAAACATTCGCTGTGTATGAAAATGGAAAAGACATCCCTGACCCCTGAACCACCGGTTCAGTGTTGAGAAGCCCTTGAAGCCCTTGAGCTGCTCAAACCCCAGCTGTCCACAGAGTCCACGGCTACGCACAGCACCCAGAGAGTTCTGCAACAAGTCTATATAAGCTTCCCCGACCTTCAGTTTATTTCTTGTTGGTGCTAGTTACTGGGCTATAAGCCTTGAGCCCTAAACCCTGCACCCCTAACCCCTAAAGCCCTAACGTAAGTCATGGCGGACCTGCTGACAGAGAAGATCGGCAAGCCGCAAGTGCCGAAAATGGATGCTGCCGAAGAAGATTGGGAGGACAATTTGGCTTTGCATTTGGGTAGTTGTCAAAATTGGGGTCCCTGTTTGGGTAACCTAAGTATTAGGTGCCGTATTACAATAAGGACCCACAAAGGGATGCAGGGTTTGTGGTGGTGTTTTTACAAGGATGTTAGAAAGTTTGGTTGCGTGTGGATACCACACTGCGTTCAGCTTTCTATATGGCTGGATACAGGTTTATGGGTGCTTACTGGCATTTACAAGCTTTATTTTCCAAAGGGCCCTAGGTACTGTTAGGGGCTGCACTTTCCCAAATCATACTGCTTTGTGATATCCCCTACGCTAGATTCTACGATGTAGGTACTCAGGACCCTCTGGGTAAGGTTTGGAAAGAGGTGGCAGTTCATTGCGGTGGTGCAGTTTTTTTTTTTACGCAGCGGTTTAGGCTGCAGCTGTCGGACTAAACCATGATGTTTAGTCGTTCAGGCATTAGGTTTTGGGAGGTAGGCTTAGGGTTCATCGGGTTGAAAACCTAAGGTGAACTGTAAGTAACGGATAGTGTGAAGTGGTTCTGGCTCCGCGCCTAGGATGTGTAGGATGAGGCTCACCATTTCCTGTTTAGGACAAGTTCCAAGCAATCGCATACAAAAGAGCTGATAGCCTACCCGCAAACCTTACAATGCAGACCCTAAGCCTTAAAAGCCAAAGACCGAATGCCCACCCGAAACCGGTAACCCCTTAACCAAAAAATCTGACTTCAACCCCCCTGAGTCCCAGAACCCTCGACCCTGTTTAGGGTTCAGGGTGGAATCCCAAAATGGGTCAGCAAATGGGGGGGCTAAAGGATGTTGTAGCAGTTTGTGCCCAGGTTTAGGGTTAGGACTGTAGGCCCTGCACTAAACCCTAAACCCTAGCCGTCCTGAGCTTTGGACCCTAAAAACTGCAGAAAGCTTAGGCTTCTGAACCCCTTCACCTAAACTACAGCAGGCTCTACAACTATTTGCTTAAGAACCCCCAAAAAATAAAAAAAAAATATTCCTTATGGGGGTAATATGGGGATTATTATTTTATTTCTTGGGGGTTTCTTAAGCAAACAGTAGTCTAGTTGAGGCCCTAGACCCTACAGCCCTGAGCCCTAAACCCAAACTCTGAACCCCAAGCCCCTAAACCCTAAACTCTAAATACTAATCCCCCCTCCCCTCCCCCCAAAAAAAGCAGAACTACGGTGGATGATAGAACCTTAAGGACCTTATAAAGTATGGGGTTTATGGTATATTCCCTATTATGGAAAAAAGGATCTATATCATCAACCGTAGCTCTGAAGCCTAAGCTGCAGCTACAGGAGACTTAGTAAGTACCGTTATAAGTACCCTAAGTGGGGTTATAAGTATGTACTCCCACGATCCGTTAAGTAGCTCTGAGCCCTAAGCCGCAGCTACAGGAGCTCTACAGCAGTCTGATCTCCCAGATGGTCCCATCGCGGGACGAGATGCTTGGCCTAGCAAGGGCTTCGGGGTTCAGAGTTTTGGCTTCAGGGTACATATATCTATATCTATATATATATATATATACACATATTTATTTATATTTATTGATATATATATATATACATACAGATATGTTTAGAATTCAGGATCGAGGCTTCATGGGATTTGTGGGTTGAGGGTTTAGAAGCTTCAGGGTGTCGGGGCCAGGCTTCCGAGAGGTTCATCGTAGGGCGAAGGCTTCGGCTCGGATTTTTTGGATTGATCCACATGGGTGGTTGTCAAAATTAAGGTACCTTTGTGGGTACCCTAAATATTAGGTGCCGTACTTAGGTACCCAAAAGTAAGGGAACATCATTTTGATAACCACCCAGACATACACTACCAAGATAGCATTATAGGTCCCAAAAAGTCATCCTTGTCATGGTTTTGGGGGGCCTAATTCCAAAATACTGGAATATTTGGACCCTCTTGGTAAGGCGAAGACCCTTGACATGCCATGAGCGCTTGTGTTGGTGCCTCTCGTTTGTGAGTCTACGTACCTGTTTCGGATATTTGTATCTGTGGTTCATCTATCTCTCCAAACAGGATACATCGGATACATCGATAACAACTCTCCCCCTCCAAACCCTAAGCCCCAAAGCCCAAACCCTAAACCGTAAAGCCGTAAAACCCTAAAAGCCTAAACCCTAAAGCCCTAAAAAACCCTAAAGCCCTAAAAGCCCTAAATCCTAGACCTAATGCGAGATCTCAGGATCGTGCGGGCGACGCCGGCATACCGGGTCCTCCAGTGTATGGGTCGGCCCCTTCGGGTGCGCGGCGGCGACTCGGTCGACAGAGAGACCGATCTGCTATAGAGGCTTCAATAATTACTTATACTAATTTGGGGGTTCCTTTTATGATTTTGGTATATCTACTAAAGGGGGCTAGATAATTACCCAAATTCTGGTTAGGAATTATAGTATAATGGACCCCAAAACCCTGTTCTAATTGTTAAGGTCTCTATATTAAGCTACTAATGTTTAAGGTTCGGGTTTAGGGCTTGAGATTTAGGTCGGGTTGAATATGAGCCTGGAATTTTTGGGTTTATAGGGTCTTCAATCTTTGGGGGCATCTGATTCTACAACCTAACATAGAATTACTACTTGCTTCCCTACAGAGCAGGTGTAGCAAGTTTGTAGCAGCCTAAGGGAATTGAAATGGATTGAAACTGTTTTATTAGGCTGTCACGGGTTCTATGGAGTTCATAAAGATCCTTCAAGGCGTTCCAAGGAGGGTCTAGTGTTCAGGGTGTGGAACCCTGAGCACTAAATCAATGCAAGCCCAGAGTAGATACTTCAATGAGAACAATGGCGGGGCCTTAATGATTAGAATGGGGTTTTGGGGTACATGTTGCTATAAATACAATAAGGAACACCAAAAAATGTATCGGTATACAACTAAGGCTCAAAAGTTACACGGTTTGGGGATATGTTGGTGACGCCTTCCTGCTTTCAGGGGTCCGAAAATATGGTTCTGGGCTTGCCTAGGGTCATTATGGAATTTCACGATGGTTTTAAAGCAACCTAGATCGATGGTTTTGCACGGTGCCTTCTATTGGTTTACAGCGTTTGTTTCAGTGTGTTGGGTTGAACCTTCTGGATTTGAGGTGGGGATAATTGGTGAGCACCGCTGCGGTTATCCTTCATTTGACAAAATACCTACTGCGAGGCCATTCATCATCGACTTGCTAGCTGCGCCCCTGAGCTGGCTCTGTAAGTACACCAAAAGCACCCAGAAACGAATCAACCCACGGCTTAACTCTGGCCTTGACTGTAAGACTATAATACTATAGTTAATACTAAGATACTATAGCAATAATACTACAATGATACTACTATGACAATACTATAATAATACTACTACTATTACTACTACTATAATCATACTAAAGCTAAGCCGCAAGCCAGGCGAGCTGTATGCGCTCAGCTGCCCAACCACCCGAATTGCATCATTTTGGTCCCATAGTTGGCATGGGCCGACCTGGTTCAAGATTCTGACGCTCTTCGCCGTGAAGAACGGCATGGCGGCTGCGGCTAGGTCCGCCAGTGGTACCTGTAGGCGCTTTGCTTATGGGGGATGGTTACTGTTAGTGATTTCTTTCTACTTGTACTGTTATTATCATCATTTATCATCATCATTAATGTGTTATTAGGTTTCTGGGGAACCCAGGCGGCGCTGAGTACGACCTCAGCTGTGCTGATGGGCATTCTCTACAGCGCCGGTGCTCTCCCCGACTTCTTTGGCCAGCTGGTCAAGAAAGAATCCCATACATGCAGAAGCCTGAACCATCCTCATGTTAAGAGACTCTGAACCCTCTTGAGGTCTGCGTCACCATTTATTTAAAGTTTAGAGGGTTCCTGTTATGTTTTGCGAAGACGACGCTTTGCAGGTCAGCTTGGCTGGTGTTCCTTCGTCGCCGCCATTGTATATTCCTGCACTTTCGTCTTTTGGCAGAGTCGCCAGCCCGTCTTCGTCGACCGGATCTGCATTCCCACATATGACGACATGGTCAAAGGAGACACTTCAAACCAAAGCAAGCACGCAGCCGAAAGCTTTTCTGAAATATAGAAATTCAGAAAGTCAACATATGTCAACCCCCGCCGCATGGCCTCCGAAGCCCTAAACCCTACAAAAACCCTGATAGGAGAAGCTCTTAGCCCTATAAAACCCTAATAGGAGAAGCGCTCATAAGCCCTAAACCCTATAAAACCCTGATAGGAGAAGCGCTCATAAGTCTGGGTGCGTTTCTGAAATGCGCTGACTCTATGCTCGTACTCTGGGATCCCAGCTTCATGGACCGTTTCTTGGCTGGGTTTAGGGTTTAGGGTTTTTAGGGTTTAGGGTTTAGGGTTTAGGGTTTAGGGTTTTAGGGTTTTAGGGTTTTAGGGTTTAGGGTTTAGGGTATGTCGAACTTTACTATGACCGTTTCTTGGTTTATTTTATGTCGAACTTTACTATGTAAGGTTGTCGGGCTCGGGTTTCGGGCATGCCGTGCCTTTTGGTGTGCTTTACCCGAGCTTTATGTCTGTGAAAAGACAAAACAAACAGGATCATGTTTCGTCGTGATCCAGCAGCAACCCAGGTTTGTGGTGTATGTTTGAAGTCGGAGCATTCTTACATAGTCGCCAACGGGGCAGAAAGCCACTGCTGACTATCCGGCCGACTGTTCTAGGTCCTGTTGTTGTCGCCATCGTTGCCGAGCTGGCCAGGGTTTTGAAATCCTAAATCTTTCTACTCAGGGTTTAGGGATGTTTAGGGTTTAGGGGTTTAGGGCTTATGGGGCTTAGGGTGTACCTAAACCCCCCAAAGTAGGTAAAATAAAGGCCCAATACCCATAAATGGCGATCATTCTACATACTTGTGGGGTCCAGGCATATACCTTGTTGTGCTGCAGATGCAGTTTTGGGTTCAGGGATGGTTTGGGGGGTTCGGTGTTCCTCAGAAATCATTAGTTGGTTCTTGTCGCAAGATATGCCCAAAAGGCTGGTAAACATGCTTTTTCGTGGTGGTGCTTTTGACACAGATGAAAGCCACGCTCAACCCCAATGGCCTCGAAACACCTGCAGACCTAAACCAAACTGTCCGAAATGCTTGGAACTGGTCTTTAGCTCAGCATAGGGATATAGGTCCACCCCGCAGGTCGTGATCAACGCGGTTGCTACACTTGCCTGGGGCTGGATCGGAGCCCCTACGGAGTTCTATCTCGTCGTGACAGCCATGTGCAGTGTGCCCACGAGTGTTTGGTGTTTAGGGATTCCGGTGTAAGGATGTGCAGTTTCGGGGTTCAGGGATAGACGGTTCAGGGCATTTGTGGAATCAGAGCTTTACGTTTCAGGGATTTAGGGTTTCAGGATTTGTGCTTCGGGGCTTTAGTATGGAGAGGTGCCCCTGTTCCTTATCATCCACGTTAGTCGTGGTTACTGCCGGACGGTCGTGCCTGGGTTCTTGTTAAGGAGCTGATTTTAGGTTACCATAATAGGGATCTGTAGTCAGTAGTATGGTTTCTTTATTGTGGTAACTTAGCTTAAATCCAGGAGAAGCTGCAGGACGACATGGCTCACTTCAGCATCGAGAACCTGACCAGCTATTGCTGCACTGTGGACCCCGGGTTCTTGTTAGTACTATAGCCTTATGGGGGACTTCACAATTACCAATAGATACTATTTATAGTAGAAGCCCAAAAATTAGAAACCCCGTAGCCTCAATCCTTAAGAGTGATGTATAGGGAATCCCAGCACTATTTGGCCTTAATTCGGTTTCCAACTTTATGGGGTTTACTGTAGGGGGTTCCTTATTACACTCATAATATAAGAGGCCCCAAAAGCTAAGCAGCCGGTGATCAGTTATCATCATGTCATAGGGTCAGAGGGGTGGTACATGATGTTATAAGGGCTCCACAGTGTGCTAAGGGAGCTCACATATTATATATATATATATATACACATGTACATATATGTTGTATGTATACATGCATATATATATATATATGTATGTACATGTATATATATATATATATAATGTGTTCTTTTATTGCCCGGGCAACCAATGCTTCTTTTCTATTGCCTCTAACTATGCTCCGGAAGAAGAGCTCAGGATCACAAGGACCCGTCGACAGGGGAAGACATGCATTGCGACCGGAAGATTATCTTGCAATGTATTCGCACATGGCTCCTTTGAACATGTTTCATCAGGGACGTTGATTCTACGGGTTAATTGAATGATGCTTAGCAAACCTTATAAGCCCCGAGCCCTCTTGCGAGCCACAGAAGGGACGTTCAAACAACAGAGACATCCCAGACCTTGCCTCAAAAACCCTAATCCCTAAACTCGAAGAGACGGGGGGTCTTTGGGCTTCGCGAGCGAAATCCGAACCGCGAGCGAACCGCGAGCTCCGAACTGTCATAAACTTAGATCACCAATACCTAACCTTTCAACTCTTCGTGTTCTTATAGTTTAGTAAGAAACGGAAAGTTTAACCTTTTATTTCTGTGGCTTATTGGGGTAGTAAGCAAAGGAAGACCAAGCCCACGCTCGACGAAGCCTCGCAACAGCCCCGGCCCAAGACCCCAAGCAAGTTCTCTAAGCCTGGAATCCTTTTCCCCCGTTCCCTGAGGGCTCTATCAAAGGGCCCCTGGGAGGGTCCTGGTTACTCTAAACCCTAAACCCTAAACAAAAACTAACCCCTGACCCTTACTCGGCAAACTCCCAACTCAGGTTTGGGACGGTTCAAGCCTTTGAGCAGAGAGTCCAGTCGGAGGTTTTGCAACTCCTCGTCGACCAGCTCTCGAACGAGGTGGCTTTGGGTTTAGGGTCTAGGGTTCAGGGTTTAGGGTTTAGGGTTCAGGGTTCGGGGTTTACTGTTCAGGGTTTGGGGTCTAGGGTTCAGGAAGTGTTGGACTTTAGGGTCTTGGGTTTAGGGTTTCGGAAACCCCCAAGAAGTGGGCAAAACAATGGCCCAACACCCACGAACGGCTATTGTTCTACATGCTCGTGTCTTGGGAGCGTTTAGGGCTTTGAGTTTGGGGCCATGGGTTTACCTGGACCTTAAACCACCTGCATGTTTCAGTATATACATATATATATATATATATATATATGTGAACCCGGAACAGCTACGTCATTTCGAGTCTAGGCTTTGGGCTTCGTACAAGGATCAGGACAACCTCACAGTCCCTGGGTAATTACAAGTGCGTAGCCTGGGTTTAGTTTTGACGCCCCTATCTTCATTAACCCTAAACCCTACACCCTAAACCCTAAACCCTACACCCAAAACCCTACACCCAAAACCCCTAAACTCTAAACCCTACACCCAAAACCCTTAATTACACCCAAAACCCTAAACCCCTAAACCCTACACCCAAAACCCTAAACCCTACACCCTAAACCCCTAAACCTTAAACCCTAAACCCTACAACCCTAAACCCTACACCCAAAACCCTACACCCAAAACCCTAAACCCTACACCCAAAACCCTAAACCCTACACCCTAAACCCTACACCCTAAACCCTACAACCCAAAACCCTACACCCAAAACCCTACACCCAAAACCCTAAACCCTAAACCCTACACCTCTCTTTCATATGATAGTTTAAACCCTAATGCCTTAGTCGTTTAAGGTCAGGTCGGGGCCACATTCTGCAGCAAAACAGGGCCGTTCTGTTCGTGTGCCTGCTCTAAGGCCTTAGTCGTTTAAGGTCAGACCTTAAACGACTAAGGGTTTGACCTGAAACGACTAAGGGTTTGACCTTAAACGACTAAGGGTTTGACCTTAAACGACTAAGGATTTGACCTTAAACGACTAACGGTTTGACCTTAAACGACTAAGGGTTTGACCTTAAACGACTAAGGGTTTGACACCCCCTCCCCCCTCCCTCCCCTTCCCCTCCCCCCCGCCCCTCCCCTCCCTTCCCCCCTCCCCCCCCCTCCCCTAGGGTTTTGGGCCCTAGGGTTTAGCGAGCCTTTTTACTTGCTTTACTTAAAACAAGCAAGAAACGGTGTTGACACCACAGGAAATTTAGGGTTTAGCTACAGCCGCAAATGTTGCCAGAGTAGTTAATTGGCAATTTCATAACTGTGAGGTTTAGGTCCTGCCGCACACCGACTGAATTTAGGGTTTAGCTTGCCCAAGACTAGCAACTAACTATGAATAAATAGCTTGCAACATATACAACAAACCTAGTTGGTTGGAAGAATCTAAGGTAAGTCTAAGCTCGACAACCTTAAAAAAATAAATCAGCTGTGGGAGCAATATGAACTGTTGTATTTTCCTAGTGGTGTGGGAAAGCGACATTAAAGTGTGACAGGCTAGAACTCTCTGAGTGATGATGAAGGACTTTATATGGCTTATGTTATGGGATTCTAAGGGTGGGTGGGTGTTATTTCTAAACCGTAAATACAACTCTACTTTAGAACTGCTCGATCCGGAGCTGCTGAACCCAAAACCCTAAACCCTACACCCTAAACCCTAAACCCTACACCCTAAACCCTAAACCCTACACCCTAAACCCTAAACCCTAAACCCTCCGCCCAAAACCCTAAACCCTAAACCCTAAACCCTAAACCCTAAACCCTCCGCCCTAAACCCTAAACATTAAACTTTGGGGATCCCCAAACAGGTTCTTCCGAACCCCTGGAGACCCTAAGCTGCCGGCGGCTTCGGCCGGAAACGGTTTAGGGTTTAGGGTTTAGGGGTTTAGGGTTTAGGGTTTAGGGTTTAGGGTTAGGGATGGTTTGTCCTCATTTGGGAGTTTCCGAATATTGGGGGTACCCTATTTTGCGGGTCCTTAAGGATCCTATTATTTCGGGTACTATAGTAGGGTCCCGTATTTTCGGAAACTCCCATTTAGGTTTAGGGCTTAGGGCTTAGGGTTGAGGGTCTACGGTAGGTATCGAATTGGGGCAATTGTAAATTTCCAGAGCCTTGATTGCGCATATTTTTGTGACTGTTGCAACCGACACCCAGTTATGCTTTGTGCCCTACTTTGCTCTAAAGCTTTCGGATGTAGAGCCCTAAATCCTGCTTAAAGCATGGCGAGTAGTTCCCGTGTTTTGCTTCTCTGGTGTTGTTTCAATAGGGTCGTAACAAAAGCCCCGATTGAAACTACATAGACCTTAGAAAGAGCCGAAAACACCCTCAAAGCAACTGAGCACTGACACTGTAAGCTAGAACCCTAAACCTCAACCCTTAAACTAAGCCTTAAACACTAAACTCTAGAACCGAAAAAGCAACATCCCTTCAAAGGAACCTCTTATAAGCATGGATGCAGGTGTTTTCCTACGCGCAGGCAGTGGCCATAACCACACCCGTCGTCTCCTGGCTCCGACATACCCATAGGCCCCATAGTAGTTCCTTTTTGGGATTACCTGAAAGGATTCTACATGTGAACCCCCCAAAAGGAACCACTATGAAGCCTTTCTGTAGGCCCAACTTAAACCCCGAAACCCTTACAATTCTCTCATCAAGAAGCCATAGTAAGGAATTTCAGAAGAAGTCAGGTCCTTGGGCAGTCAAGGTAGCGATTAAGGGTTTAGGCCTGAAGGTTTAGAGTTTAGAGGGTTTCCGTTTGGATTTAGTCTTTGTTCTTCACTCAGCTATCCGTGTCACAGAAGATACATCCAGACAGCATTGGGCCGAATTCATTGGCAGGTATGATTAATTTGTGATCGCATCTCACCTGACTGTCTTTGACTTACCGTTTTACTACAACATACGCCAAGAATCCCATGGTAATGGGGGATCGCATACCAATGATGAGTCCCGATGTGAAGCCCTAGCCTTCTTGAAGCTCATGAAGCACTTATAATGAAGCCCTAGTGTATTCGTTAAGGCATTACAATAGCCCATATACCCTAAACCCTAAGCCTCAACACCCTAAGCCCCTCGGACCCCGTATCATGAACTCTAACGATGCATAAACCCCTTGACCCCTCTGTTGCTCCTTCACCAAGTTCTGGGGGTATTTGGATTTCGGATTCGATTGGATCCGCCGCGGCAACATCTCCACTGCGGTGCACAACTTCATGCGCGGTCTGACATACATGTTCGCAGTTTCACCAACATTATTGTTGCGTCTTGGCTGTTGAAAAGCACTGTTTCGCATTTTTGTGTGCTAGTTGCAGATTGCAAGACCCCTAATTAAACCTTACACCCAACCCCTAAACCCTACGTAAGTCCATCCAAAAATACAAAAAACCCTAAACCTTAAATTTTGGCTGGGAATTTAGACCATGGAAGTCACCATCGGAGCCTGCCCAGCTTCCACACAGTAATGTAGGGGCCGTAATCGCTAAATTAGAATAGGAACCCTTTAAAGGCAATTGAAAGGGGTCTATAAGGGATACTATGAGGGATGTATAAGGATACTGTAGTCTAGGGTCCTTACAGTAATAATTAGACTAGGGTTTGGGGGTAGATCATAGGATAACTAAAATAAGGAACCCTCAAATCCCTACTCTAATCATTTAAGGCCCCTACATGACTCCCCAAGCCCTGATGAACCCCGTTGATGAACTTTTTATAAGGAACCCTCAAGCGTCTGAGGGCTTGGGGCTAGATGACCCTATCCTCATATCATGTACAGAACTAGAGCCTAGAGAGTTTGTGTTTGTTTGAAAGCCGTGCAGACTAAATCCTGCTTTTTCAGATGTGCGAGCTTCCGAAAACTAGGGGTACATTATTTGGTGTCCATAATATATGGATCCTACCAGTTAGGGTGCTATTTGAGGGTCCCCTATTCTTGGGAACTCCCATTTCTAGATTACCAGTGAAGGCTGTTATTCCGACTGGCTTACTGGGTGCGCAGGCAGCGCTCACTGCTATTGGATCCTCTTGTGTCATTGCTGGTCTTCTTAGCCGCTGCGGTCTTCTTCCTCGTGCCTAGGTCCCACACTAATAAATACACGTTGCTGACGGTTTCTATATGGGGTATCTAAAATTAGAATGCCATTATCAGGGGGTTCCCTTTAGCTTCAGGTTGTTTCAGTATTAATTATCCGTATCTCCTTTACTTGTTGGTGAGTTTCCCTGTTGAAGTTAAGTAAAATGACAAAGGACGCCTTCATTATCAAGGGGATACTGAAAGCCAAGGCGCACTCGGCCTATGATGTGCTGCTTTATACCGTCATCTTTCCAGAGATGCGCATTCTGGCAGGAACTCTTTTCTCAATTCCGGCGTTCTTGCTGGCGGTCTTTGTTTGGCGGACTATACCACTAATAGCGTTGCACCGTTCCAGTGAACAGGTGTCACCGAGGCCACATGCATCTTAGATGCTGATTTGCTTTCGAAGCTCTGACTTTTGAAGAAAGCTACCCATCCGCAGCCATAAGGACCAAGTGACCCAGAAAGGATACAAGCCTCTACACGTTGTGATTTTGAACTCTAAATGGGACATTAACCATAAGTTCTTTTCGGGTCAATGTGGTCCTTACGGCCCATCCATGCTGCTAAGGTTGTTCCAGATCTGTGCCAATTCTGCTGACTGCTCAAACTTTAAGACATCATAGCTTTCGTTTTCATGGGTGTCGAAACCGTTTGACACCCAAAATTTCAACCCCCAAAAAGCTCTCCTATCCACCCCTAATTTCTTTCTGTCAATCACTTCGTCTACCTATCCATCTACATACCTTTCTTTCTATCTGTATGAATAAATATATATATATATATATATTTATATATATATATATATATACACCTTTCAATCTTTCTATCCGAACAAAGGTCTCACCTTGGCGAGTCATGTTTCTTGTCATGGGCGCATCTTCTAGAGACCCGGCATCTGGAGGAGCGTCCTCTCCGAAGTGGCTGGCACCAGCGCATAAAGCGCCTTTCTATAGGCAATCGGCGCATTTGGCCATTCTTTCGAAGAGGCACAAGTTTAACCGTCAAAAAACACCAAAACCTAAACCCGAAACCCTCGCCGACAGTCACGGTTTGTTGGCATCTCTGCTTCCAGGGATCTCCCTACAGCTCAGGGTTTGATTGCAAAGAGGGCAGTGGAAATATGTTTCTACTCCACAGACCCTGAAATCTTATGCATAAGCGTGTCTAGAGTCTCTACCCCTAAACCCTAGAGCATAAGGCAACTAATCTCAAGACTCCGAAGGCCAGAAACCCTGAATCGTAAATTCGTGTGCCTCAAGTTAACAGGTCTGAGGCCTTAACTGCCGTAATTAAGCCAGGCGTCTGAATAATCAGTATGCCTTCATGTTAGTTGAATGAGTACAGGTATAGGCCTTGTTTCAAGCATTAAGGCCCCCGCCCCCCGATGCCAGAAACCCCTGGTAGGGCCTCTAGTAACAGTACGACAAACGAAAGCACCTCAGAAGCTCCCTTAGACCGGGCTAAAACCCAAGAATCAGCCTTTCTGGGTGTTTGCTTCGTTCCCGCGAGTTTGGAGGGTGCTTCAGGCCACTCAGAGGGAAGAAACGTCGTAGGGTTTGGGGGTTTTGGACTTGGTAACTTGAGTACCAATACCTTCCACTGCGTCCATATACGGCATGTATGTATGCATCATATACATATACATACACGTCTGCAATGTGTATCTCTCGTAGTAAATGAGAAGTGTGCAACATAGATGGAGATAGGTATATCTACACACATAGAAGCACAGATATGCATGCGAATACAAACCAAGCATCCAAGCAAATAGTTGCACGCCTCGTCAACAATCCTCATATTTGGCATACTACAACTGACCACCCAATCCACCCGCGCAGGGAACCCAATCCGCTCACCTCTATCCCGAGACCCCCCCACCCTTGGGCCCTAAGCCCTAAGCCCCATAAACCCTAAGCCCATCCCGACCGCCCACCCCCCGTCTTCGGAATCGCAAAATTTGGCAGTGAAAACCAAGGGCCTTGGAGGCTTAGTGACAAGGTCTCAACCCCAGAACCTAACGTCCAAAGTAAGCCCCACACCTCAAAGCCACGACCCTACACCCAAAGCCCCATGCCCTGCACTCCTGTACTAACACTTCTCAGAGCCTTTGTTGCCGTGCAGAAACCCTAAACCACAACCCTCAACCGCTGAACTGGTTTAGGGTTTAAGGACTTGCAACCTGGCACGCTTCACTCCTATAGACCCGAAGCCCTATTGCCCCTCCCAAAGGCCTGAAGCCAAAACCTGCATGCTAAAACCTGATCCGGTTTAGATTTGTTGGGCCGTTATCTTACTATTCGAGGGACTGACCCTGAACCTTTCGGGGTACTATAAACTGTAGATTGTGCCCAAAGGTTGGTTACCCTTTAGCTGTAGCTTCACCGGGCATTTGGTCAAGTAAGCGATAGGCCGAGCCCTGAACCTTGAAACGACGCCCTAAGCAACTCTTAGGTCTTAGAGCTTTTTCAGGGTTTGGGGTTTTGGGTTTGTGGGTTCTACTTGAGGGACTATGGGACGTAGAATACAAATATCTACGCTTGAGGCTTTGAGTATCTAGTTGGGTTAGCCTCCTGGGCATCTTATTTACAACCCTACTTGTAGCCTATTCTCCAAACGTACTTCAGGGATACTGATGCTACTAAACCCGAAACTGCCAGCCATAAATCCTGAAACCACTAAGCCCGAAGAGACATTGAAACCTTCCAGCGTAAGCTCCAGCACTCTTGAAGCTCTGGACTCTAAACCCCAACAACCCTAAACCATAAACCCCTAAACCCTAACCCCTATAAACCCTAACACCCTAAAGCCTTAACATCCTTCAGCCCCAAGTCCTGAAAATTCAAAATCACTGAAGCGAACGCGAAACAACAAGATTCTCCCAAGTCAGAACAGCCTCCAGCTAAAAGCCGTAAACCTTGCACAAGAAGTCTCCAACCTCAGACCATCCAAAATGCCACATTTCAGGGTTCACGGGCCTAGGGGTTGTAGAGTTCAGGGTTATGTAAAAGCGACAAACCCTCAACCCTTAAAGAGCTAAGCGCTGGGGCCCGACATCTTTACAAACGTCTAAGCCGTCTCCAAGGTTGGTCTCGGCCATTCGGGTCTTAACCGAGATCCTCTGAAAGGCATGCGTTTCGTGGCGTTGCTTCTTTTTGGACTTTTTGGATTAGGGTTTAGGGTTTAGGGTTCTGAAAGGCATGCGTTTCGCGGCGTTGCTTCTTTTTGGAGGGGCCAGGTGGGGCGCTTTGGGTTTAGAGTTGTTGGATTCGGACTCACGCAGAGGCTCGATTCTTCGATCACGGAACTAGAGCTTACATGGGAACTTCAAAAAGGTAGGGCCACCCCGAATAGTAGGAGCTGTGATGTATGGACCCCAACATACATTCCCCCCAAATCTGAAAACACTACACAGGGCCTGCCCTATCTGCATAACCCTCGTCTCCACACTCCGTGCGCCAAGCACTGCCTGCAGTCTCCATTGTAGTTCATTGTTTTAGCCACCTAGCCTTTTAACATGGGCTGCTACCGCAAAATTGATTAATCCGAAAAGGTGCGTGATCTCTTTGAACCTGTGTAACATATGTACATACAATATAGTTACATACAATGTGTTAGATTTCATGTCGCATATATACACACACACACATACATGTGTGTATATGTCTCTGTGTCTGTTTGTGTGAATGAAGCACCGAAGCCACGAAGCTTGGGAAGTCTGTCTGCCTGCTGCTGGGAGGCTTCTGTCGGCTGATGGAGTCCGGGCGGGAAAACCTCGAGTGGTCCCTGCTCCCCAGCAGAATGTTCATCATTCAGAGCTTAAGGCTCAGGGCTTAAAGTATATGGTTTTGGTTGGGTTTGGGTGGGTATTGGCGGTTTTCCCGAAGGCTCTGAAGATTCTTATGCGCTAAGGCACCCGGCTGTTGGGCGATGTTGAGCCATAGGTTTCCGCGTTTGGACGGTCGGTACGGCACCAAGTTTTGAGAACAGCAGGTGCAGAAGTTCAGAAGTCCCACAAAGTACTAGTAATGAAATCCCAAACCTCAAACCCGCAGCTCTACCAAAATAGGTAAGCCTCCTATGCAAAGTCACCATATACCCGCACATCCAACCCCATAGTAAGCCACTACCCATGGGCATAGGATCCAGGGCACAGACGCTTGAAATCAGGGTGCGGCCAAGGGTTCTACGGTCTTTAAAGTTTACGGTGTTTGTGGCTTAGGTTTTCGGGTATTTGGGGCTCCAGGTGATCAGTGCATAGGCTCTAGAGTCTATAGAGTTAAGGGTCAATGTGTTAATGGTTTTCGGCCTACGATTCACGGTTTAGAGTTATCAACATGGCGTTCCTACAAGGCTACGGCGATCTATCGATTGTCTATCTATCTATCTATCTCTCCCTCTCTCTCTTCCTCGCTAGCTCTCTCCCTCCCTCTCTCTCTCTCTCTCTCTCTCTCTCTCTCTCTCTCTCTCTCTTCTCTCTCTCTCTCTCTCTCTCTCTCTCTCTCTCTCTCTCTCTCTCTCTCTCTCTTTTCTCTTTCTCTCTCTCTCTCTCTCTCTCTCTCTCTCTCTCCCCCTCTCTCCCCCTCTCTATCTATCTATCTATCTATATATATATATATGTATATATGTACATATATATATATATATATATACAATTTTGTGTATATATATATATATATATGTATATATGTATATATGTATGTGTACACATACATATATGCATATATGCATACATGCATATATACATATATACATATATATATATATATATATATATACATACATATATATATATATATATACACATATATATACATATATATATATATATATATGTATATATATATATGTACATATACATAGACGAGCTGGTTGTTTCGGCTTGGAGTCTCTGGGCTGACCTGGAACCCGCAAGACCCATTATTCTGGGGCGGCTATAGGAAGGTTACTGTTTCTTAGGGTTACCGGCAAGGCTTAGTCTGAAGGTCTGGGAGTCTGGGGACTTTCGTGTGCAGGGTCGCCGCAGGGGTATCGGTTTTGGGTTTATAAGCTTAAGCTTTCAGCCCTGAATGAACCTCCAGCCCAGTATAGTGAACCCGAAGGACCAAATGACCCCTTGAAAGAAATCTTAACCCCCTCCCCCTCCCCCCCTTCCCACAAGAGACCTTTTCTCAAGGAGGGAATCCAGCAAGTAGGTTGAAAGTCGTCTCCCTGGCTGGGTTGAGAACAAAAACCCATCTTGAGATCCTGCAACCCTTAGCCTGAAAGTGTACACTTCTCGGGGGGCTTATGAACTCAGCAACTCCCTAAACCCTATACAGTAGAAGCCAGAAAGTTGGAATATCATGATCGTATCCCCGTTAAGGTAAACTATAGGGTATCCTACCAT